CATCCTGTTCCCTGCTCCACAGAGCAGAAACCCAGGCAAGTGTCTGGGTAGTCCATAGTGTGGGCCACCTGCAGGCTCAGCCCGTCAGGGACACCAGAGCTGCCTGGTGTGACACACGGTATGAAGCTCCTGCTTCAGCAGTGAAGATTGGACTGACCACAGTAACACAACGCTGCTTGGAGCTCCAAGCAACTCGCCAGCCCATTCCAGCACCACCTTTCCTCAAAGCCCAGCGCTGAGCAGGGTCTCCTCAGCTCCTGCCTGCCAAACGGAAGGTAGACCCAGTCAGAAGTTCAAAAAACACCGTTCCTTCATTAACTGACCCGTGCTAATGGCTGTTCCTGAAATCTCTGCAGCAACAAGCAAAAGTTTTTACCTTTTAAAAGGTGATGCTCTGTTCACGCAGAGTCACGTGCTGACATACCTTTGGAGTCAAACAAAGCTACTCCTTCGCTCCTAGCAAAATCCGAAGAAACGCTGTGTTTGATTCTTTTCAGGGTTATCTTGCATTACAACCATTTTTCAGGCATATGATACTACAAAATACAAAACAAGGTCTGATGTCCCCTTCGAAACCAAGGTTGGAAACGTCTTGGCAGTCTATTAGGGTGCAGAAGGAAATGCTCAGAGAGAGGCATTTGTCACTTGTCACATGAGATAATGACAAGATGCCCAAAATATTTTCTTGTGAACGTATTAAGGACATCCTGAGGAGAGAGCACCACCACACTCGCATCAGACTGCTACCTTGGATAAGGAGTCTTCTGTCTTGCTTGAGAGAGGTATTTCAGTGACACACAAGTACACTCAACTGTCCAACGTAGGCTTTGTAAACCTAAAATTTGTGAAACGCTGCTGAAAGACTAAGCAAGGGTCAAAGACATTCCAGGTATGCCTGGAGTGCAGGAGAGATAAAAAAAAAAAACAACCACAACAAAACAACAAGCCAACCTTAAAATGTCATTTTCCCCACTTTGACAAATCTTTCAAGTGACAGAAGACTGGAACTTCTGTAGGGCAGGAGAGCAGCCTGCAGCTACAACACCTCAAGATTTATTTATTTTAAGCCTTGTCGACTGCTTCTGCCAGACAATCAGCACATTTATAACACTGCTATGAAGATGAGGTTTCAATACAGTCTTATTTTGGGAAAATCTGCTGGAAAAACTTACCTGAAAATGACTCCTTGAAAAACAACTTATGCTTTTAAAGGTCAATCCAATTATATATTATTTTAATCTCAATGCTACAAGACGACAGAAAAAGCATATTTCATATGTCAACACTCCAGGCAGAGAACTCTGCATTGCTATCCGGTTGAGTTTTTGGACTGATATGAAAAAACCCAACATGAATCTTAAATGCTTGCCAGCTGGGCATAACCTCTAGCCATAGCTACAGCAGAATAAAAGAAATTTTAGGACAAGAGCTTAACAATAAAAACCTGAAGGAACTAGCAAGCACTTGTTGTCAAGCGCACTACGGAGAGGTAGGTAGGGTATCTTGTGCCTTCCTCTTCAAGGACACGTGAGGAACATCCAGAGAAAACATTCAAGTACCACCTCAAGATCAGAGACCAGAAGGGAGCCAGCACCTCTTCCGTTTCAGTCCAGGCCGTTCTGCATGGGCTCAGATTTGAGAGGGGAATGTTGCTGGACCCCAACATCACTACTGTTCACTTCTCGAGCGTTTTACATACCTACGACCCTCAAATTATGCTGTACTACAACATTTTCTCATCAAGTAATTTAATATCCAATTCATTGAAGTAAGGAAGTCACTTGTTTTCTTTTTCATTGAACTGTGGTGAAAAAAAAGTCAGCATCATAATTACACAGCAGTTGTCTGTTTCTATTACTAGAAAGAATCTATTAAAATAGTCCTGAAAGACATCTTCTCTTTCTCCACTGATTTCATAACTATGCCTTTTAAATGCCAATTCCACATAGTCACGGGCTTGATGGGAAGTAGTCAGTTATATAAACCGTCAAGGCAGAGGCTCAGCTCTGCACATCCGCTGCAGCCTGCATCACAAAAGAGATGCGCCAGTTGAGCCTTCGCTTAAAAACGCATAATCCCTTTCTCATATATCGCCACAGGAGAAATTAACATTAAACACAGACTACGAAAGGTAAAGGATTTATTTCCGATATGATTTGTAGAGTTAAATTAAAAACCTACCGAATACTTTATGTAGTAGATGAATATAACCTTAGTACTTACTTTCTAACAGTTTATTTAATGGTTGGAAGTGTACAACATGAAGTAGGCCTTACGTTTAATATTGTTCAATTTTGCTTATTGTTAGATGAGATTAAAATACAGTAGCCATCCCTTTAGATTATGCTGCAACACTGATCATGTGCCTTGATAAGCAGGAACGACTAGTCATTAAATAAACGGTGATGACAGAACACGTAGGGAAGACTTTGGATTGTCTATTTAAAATGTCAACATAATAGGCAATTAAGAATAAAACTTCATTTTAAGTGCACTTCCACATGCTTTGTTTATAATATAGCAAAAACTTCCTATCATTTTTCCAAACACCTCACTCCCTACTCTAAAGCTGTTCAGTTGAAAATGCACTTTCCCCAGTAAACTTTTTTTTTAAAAAAGTAACTAAAATTTCTACCCTTTCACACACTAAGAAATGTTTCCTAATTAAAAACACAGTTTATTACAAGACATGTGAAGACAACATATAGTGAAATGGATTTTAATTGTTGTGCTGTGACTAAAGTAAAGTTCTCAAGGCTGCAATTTAACATTCCAAGTTCTCCCTTCCATCTTTATTGATTCTTAAGATTTTGCACAGAAACTCTTTGGGGGCTAGAACAGCAGTAATTGCATCACACTGTTTTCCAAGACTTCAAGTTTCAAAAGCAAACTCTTCAAAAAGTACAGTTCTTGATTTGATTAGATACAGGGACAAAAATATAGCACATACTTGAAGGTTACATGGTCTACAAATGATGGCAATATTTTCCTTGGGAGAGTACAGTTTGTTTTCTTGTAAATACTCAAAAAGGCTCAACTTCAAGCAGTAATAAACACAAGCAAAAGTGATTTAACCCTTAAAATAAATATTCAGGAAAACCTCTCTGTACATACAAGTGAAAGAATATGTAACACTTTCACGCTAAAAGAAAAAATAAAGATTTTGTTCATATAAGCAGCTGAAATCTGCTGTTCCAGCCCAATGTCCCCAGTAAAGAAGGGAGGCACAAACACAGGTGACTACTGTAGCTCACTATCTTATGGCCTTTTTGGACAGGGACATCATCACCATCATTTTTTAAATCCCTTTTGTTTTATTTATTACAGCATGCCAAATCCTTTGGCATATGTGATGGCCTTCAATAATCTTTCTTTAAGCTTTTCTTTGCTTGAGTACTCCGGAAGCAAAAGTACATTAAAGCATGTGTGAGATGTAGGTAACCTGTGGGGAAAACAAAACAAAAAAAAGAAATAATTCAGACCTGTGAACATACAGTACACGCAAATACATCGTTATTCAACAAATCAAAAAATAACAAATTTAAAAAGAGAAGCCACTTTGCTTAAAAAGCCAACTTGCAGATTTAACCAAGTTAGTAAAAGCACAGAATTTGCTTCCATTTACAAACCAACAAGCAAAATGTAGATGTTTATTTTTATTTATTTATTTTTTTACCTCTCTGTATCTGGGCCGTTTTTGGCTATGATCATTTTTAACTTTCCAAGTCCTCCCACAGGGGCTCTGTCTGTGCCCGTTGTAAACTGTAAGAATAGTCTTTTCTGTTCATCTGTAAATGAATGGACTATTTCCCAGAATTCCCTATCAAGAAAGAAATCGAAAAGTAAGTAAAATGAAAATTTTCTTTAGTGTAAATAAGACTTTCAGAAGTAATTGAACTTTGAAGCTTTTGCAAACCTGATGTTAAGATGAATTAGAATTACAAGTTGCATTCATAAACCAAAACTTGTTGTAAGGCATTTACTGATCAGCGAGATTCAGAGGTAGAAATCAGAAATCACCCAAACACCGCAGTCTGACTGCTTTTAACTGTCAATTCATCCGTTAAGTAATCAGCGAAGATCCTTCCTTTATTTTATCACTCCTATTTCCTATGGAATCCTATGGGTTTTACTACACAGTCCATTTCTACCACCTTCTTAAACACCACAGTAAGCAAATGCAGCTGCTGCCAAAAGTTTTTCACCGTAGCAGGAACTAGTTACATAGGTGCCAGAATCTAGAGGACCATAGACACATGGTTCTCTGATCCTTGTCTTCAAAGTTTTCTAACCAAAGCAGGATGAGAAGGTAAAAACATTAAAAACCATTTAATCTAATTGATTTCTAACTAGAGAAGAAGGTTCCACACACACAACCTATCCAAACAGTTCACTGTTTGTGTTTTTTATTTTTCTTAACAGCAGAGTAGGGGTAGCTCATTCAAACAGTGCTGTTTATAGTGGGGATTATTTAACTATACAGTCTAAGAACAAGACAGAAGAAATGGGGAAAAATCTTTACCAAAGATGGGAAAAGCTTTACCAAAGTT